TTTCAATGGATGGGTTATCTTCATTTCACATAAATCGGTTTATCTCTGGCGCTTTTGAAATTTTGTGAAGCATTATGGAATATTTAAAGGACCCAATTCAATTTATTTTCTGAATCCGAGAACAAAAAATCTGGTCCACCCTATTGTAGACTATTCAAACTTGCATTCTCATAGCTTCCCAAATTGGAAGAAATTTACTTTACTATCCAGTTTCTAAAAAAAGTAAAATAATTTTTGAATTCAATTGTATAATAAATAATTTTTTTTTAATTATTGACAGTGAGTTGGGTTGCATGCCATAATCGCACACTTATAGAAGTAATTAATATCGCAGGTACCTAGTAACAGGTAACCGAGGGCGTGCAATAACATTTAACAAGTAAACGTGTTTCTTTAAATTTCATTCAACTAGCAAATCTGGACAAAGAACAACCCATATGGATAATAGACACCAGATGTGGTCAAGCTACCCTACATTAAATTCCGCATAATAACACCATATAACAACTTGACAAATATAACTAAAAAATAAATTAATTACTCACTCACTTTTGTTATTCAAATAATTTATCCGTAAAACGGGTTGGCTTAAAAACAATGAAATCTATTTTTCGTTGATTGCAATTCCAAAAACACGTGTATTTAATAATATTTGAAATTATTTAAACAACAATTAAACATAGGATGATAGCAATCTAAAAACACAGCTACAAACAGGCAATTGATTTTTTAGAAAATTATATTTTTTTGACTAATATTTTTCACAAACAATTATTGCACCTTTTTTTAATAATATTTTATTGCACTTTTCTAATAATTTCCTTTTATTTTCTTTCTTTGTTATAATTGCAAATAATATTTTTCGTTTTCTTTGGCCGCAAATATTATTTTTCAAATTATTATTTCTTGTGTTGAAAACGCGTTACAAAGCGCGTGCGCACGAACTCGCGTATTTCTTCGATACCGCACCTCGCAAAGAGCTAAACAAATCTGTTGGCTAGATCTGCAAACAAAACTCACATCAGCTCCAGCTGTGTGCTTTTCTGCTTGGTTGGTGTGAATAATAGCCGAAGCTTTGTGCTTAAGCTTTTTTTCTAAAACACCAAGTAGCGGTTATTTTTGAAGTGTGTTGATTGGATTTTTTATTTCCTCTTGTGTGAATGGTAGATAGTTAGGTAGGTAGGAAGGTAGATTTAATTGAATAGCAAAGTACTTGAAATGGTTCATTAAACTTCAATATTCCACATTTTGATTATTGGTATTTTCTATTGTTTTTTAATAAATCAGGGCAAACTTTTTGAGTTGAGGGTGAAACGATTGTTTCAGGTGTTGGTAAAAAATGTCGGTCATTACCAAAATCGTATTGTGGGAGTTTCATTGATTTTAAATTAATATACAAATTACTACCTCAATTAAAATTAATGAAACAAATGGATCATTAGGCCGGATTGAAGTTATTATATCCGATTATTATTAGAAAATCTGTCTGGTACCATGGCACAGATTGGTTGTAAATGAATTGTGATTAGGGTTTTAAAATTCCGACTCGAAAAGAGCTGGATATTGAGTTTAAACAAAATTCTAGACACATCAGAACAAAAATGCTGAGTCAGAAGGATGAAGCCAAGTCAGGCAAGGTAGAAGCCAAGGGGCTCCAGCACTGAGTACAGAAGCTACAGAACGATGGGGTGAGGTTATGGGGGTTTTTTCCGGAGAAGACGATTCGAGTCCGATCGAACACGTAAAGGCTCCACCAGCAGATATCGACATATTGGTAGGGGGATCGATAGTCTGAATACGACTAAAAATGCGGGAGATAGAGAGCGCATATGACTTTATAGAAGATCTAGTGAGGTGTGCACCCGATGAATTGAAAGATCCGTGTGTTCGTGGTTGGTGGGTGGAACTATTGGAGAAGAAATCCAAAATGATAGGAAGGTTTATGCTAGCCCAAAAGCAAAGTGATCAGCAGCAGACTATATATAGGTCACTAATGAAAGTACAGTCGGGCAGAATCGAATCTACACAACTACCACGAAAATCTAATTTTTTGTGGTTCTGAATTCTGAGCCTAGGTCAACAGTTCCACTTTCTAACCCCGGAAAATTTTCCAAATCTTGTTATCCCGAGGCGATTGGACCCTCATCTAACCAGCCGTTATAAGTGTGTTGTCAGATACCCTTCACCGTGTAAAATATGTGATGTTCTGCATATAATAATGGTTTCTAGATAAACTATAAAATCTGACAAAAAAAAGTTTCGGTTCATTACACCCCCTAGATATCATCTCAACTTCGCATTCTCGGAAATATCATTCAGCAGTAAATATATTCGCCATAGAATAAAAATTTTGTAATTTTTCACACAAAGGTCTGCGTCAATTTGACCCGCTTAATATTGATTGATCTTAATCAAACAGTCATCTTATTTTTTGGACAGATAAAATTTCTTGGTGTTCGGGTCATAATTGTGGCCTCTAATGCGACAAGAAAACTGGACAAAAATATAGTTTGGGTACATTTCTTTCCCTAAATATTAATGAGTCTTCTTAGGATTAGTGGACTGTATCGTGTTCACAAATGCGGTCTGGAATTTAAAGGCGAATGTCACGGCATACAAAGTTGAATGGTGTGGCCAATAGCCGAAGAAGAAGCGACTCTATTGCCGAGATGAAGAGAATTGAGGATGGATACCCTGGAGGATGAAAATGAATGTGCCGACCAGCTTGTGGAATATACTGTGGCCGATGAGAAGCGGAAGAAGAGAATTGCCGATGGTTCAGCGAGAGTGCAAAAATGTGGAGGAGCCAAGTGGAATTCGCGTGACCGAGAATTTGAAGAAGATAATGATTGAACCAAATAAAGTGTGTAAATGCACAACGAAGAAAAATATACATACATCTACGCAGAAAATTGTCCTTGTAAGTCCATGTTTTAATATAGCCTTGATGATTTATGACAAATTTTCGAAACGAAAAGACTTTTATTTGACATTTCGTGGATTTGGAGGCTGACAGACATCTGCACCGAAAATGATAATTATGGAGCCCATATAAAATTATACCCTACACAACTATGTTGTCAGGGTATTATAGCTTTGTGCAGCCCCAAAATTTTGTAACGCCGCGAAATATTGTTCCTAGACCCACCTTTAAGTATACCGATCGTCATATCCCGACTAGCTGAGTCGATCTAGACATGTGTGTCCGTCCGTCCGTCCGTCCGTCTGTCCATTATAATTTGTAAACACGATACAGGCCACAGTTATGGACCAATCTTCACGAAATTTTGCATGTAGGATGGGTTCTGGCCAATGAAGACCCCTATTGTTTTTGGAAAAGATAGTGTAATATTTAGGGGATGAAATGGACCAAAAACTTAATTTTTGTCGGTTTTTCTGGTCGCTCCAGAGGCCGCAATTATGACCTAAACACCGCGAATTTCTGCATGGAGAAGGGGATCGGGCCAAAGAATAAGCATGCCTGTTTTGATGAAGATCGGTCAATATTTAGCGGGTCAAATGGACCCTAACTTTTGTGTGAAAAATGACAAAATTTTTATTCTATATCGTATATATTTACCACTGAAGGACATAGATCCGAGAAGTTGATAGTATATCCAAGAGGAGTGGTTGACCTTTAAATTGATACCAATTATATTGTCGTAGTTACTCGGATGCGAGAGTTACACTTAAATATTTACAGGTGCTTACGTATTCATATATTATTTAGTAACCTTTTACCACACTGGAGGGCGGAAATATAGCGCTGATCGCTTTGAAATGTTCCATGAGGTTCCAGTTATGGTCAAGGACAACACCTAAAATGTTAGGTGACGATCAGATAATAACTTTTCGAATGAAGTGGACCGAAAATTTAATTATTTGTACAACATCACAACACAACCCACAACACAACCCATGGTGAAGGCAATCTGGGCAAGTAATTAGAGGGGCTGTACTGATTATTAGTAACATTTGCTGACCTCTAGCCAGTCAAAAGTGTGCAAAGATCACGAAATATTGCCCAATCTCAGAATATAGAACCACAAAAAGTTAGATTTTCATGGAAGTTGTGTAGGGTATCGTATGGTCGGCCCCGTCCGACTATAACCGAACCGATGATATCACTGACTCGATCTAGATATGTGTGTCCCTCCGTCCGCCTTCCCATTATAATTTCTAAACACGATGCAGGCCACAGTTATGGACCAATATTCATGCAAAACGGACTGGTTCTGGCAAAAGAATACCCATATCGGTTTATATTTAATGATGAAATTGAACAAAAACTTTATTTTTATCTTTTTTTCTGGTCCAGAGGCTACAAATATGACCCAAACATGCAGAAATTTTATATAGCAAAAAGTCGTTGGCTAAAGAATTGGGTCGACAAAGACCTAGATATTTTTGTGAAAAAGATCGAGGTATTCGGGTCAAAATTGTGCCCTCTAGACCAGAAAAACAATATTGGTCTACGATCAATATTTCAATATCAATATAGCCGAACATCACAAATTTTCCATGGGAGAAAGCGATCTACCGACTAATTCGTATGACTGTCTATTTAACGGTTCAAATGAACCGAAACTGAAATAACAAAAAATTAAAATGGAGTACATTTTACTCCGGGAAAACATGATTCGGAAAAGATGCCGCGAAAGACAAGTTACTCTATATGGGTTCATATATTACCGATTCCATGCGAATAATGTTTCAACACACTATGTCTTTCCAAACATCACGAAATATTGCATATACCTCAGGGGTTCCTTTGTTTTTGGTAATTATTGGCCCTTTTTCCTGAGTATTATTATATAATGTTTATTTTTGAAAATTACTACAATTTTCATTCACATACGAAGCTTATCTAAAAATCGTGTCTCATGGCTCTGAGATGTCACATCTGCTGCTAACCCTTATCAGTATAAAAAATATACATTGTTATATTATTCTAAAAATAGTATTTATTATCAGTTCAAATTGTATTTCACAAATTTCATTTAACCACGGAAATAATGACTTCCACCAATACCAAAATTATAGTCTCGTTGATTTTGCAATGGACCACTTAACCACTTCGAACCAGAACCAAATGCATCCAAACGAGTATTACCATCGCTAGATGTAAAGAGATTTGTGTGACCACCCACGGATGCTTGTTTGCCAAAACCTTCAAAACGCGTTACACCACCACTCAAACCATGTCCTCCTTCATTAGTCCATTTCACTCCACTACTTTCTTTGTTAAAACCAAAACCATTATTCAATTTTGTATTTGTGTGTGAATAAATAGCATCCACGCTATTTCGATCGTTATTGAAAATATTCGCACTCAATGATTTGGTAAAACTATCACTGACACCATGGTTAATGTCACGACTCAAGGAACCACCTACACCCATGGAATTTTTCCAATCCAACGAGCCCGATGAGGATTCAGCAAATTTGCCATTGGGGAAAAAGGTTTTACTTTGGGTTACAGTGCCATCCACCTTGTTCGAAGGACCGTTGTATATGTTACTGCTAACGGTATTGGTTTTAATTGAGACTCCATTGCTACAAAATGAAAAGGGATTTAAAAAATTTCTTTAACAAATTTAATGAATTATAATCTTACCTGGTTGCGGGATTATCTGGAGAACGACGAGCTCTCATAATCCTGGGTTGCTGAGTTGGTGGTGGATAATATGGTAGTTTTTGCACATAGACTCGTTGTGGTTGGGCCTCTGTTAAAGCAGCAAAGGCTAGAATGCCAACACAAGCTCCCAACAATAGAATGCACTTCATTTTGTAAATAGTTTTAATTTTTTTTGTTGGTGTTATTTAGTTCGAATACTTTTTGTGTTCTGCCATCTGTTTTCGTTGCAACGTCTTTTATATTCAAACACATATTTTTTGTGACTGGGAACACGAAGTCTTATCAAATTTCCGGTTTGCCTTTATTTCTTTGGGATTCACCATCCATCGTCTAGGGGCTTTACACACAACAGCTTATTGTAGTAAAATAGGAACAATAATAATTTGCCATATATCAACATGAATACATTATGGGCCAATATAAATGAGGTACTATAAGGTGAACGGGAAAGTACCAATAAATTCCTTAAGAAATTATTTGAAGCGTTTGGTGTCTAAAATTTTCTTATGTTCTAGCAAAATTATAGCTGATTTAAACACAATATTATACAAAGAACAAATATCGGTAATCTGTTCACAATGAAGACCTACCCAAAATCACCCGCAAATTGTCAATGAATATTTTATGAAGGACTAGCAGGTGCTTTAAAAAAAATAAGGCGTTTGGAAACCTAATCTTTAAAATTTCACTCCTTTTTGAGAGTACTGCAAAAAATATATATAGCTCTACTAGTCCTTTATAAAATATTCCTAAAAAATCCACGCTTATAGCTCTACTAGTCCTTTATAAAATATTCCTAAAAAATCCACGCTTATAGCTCTACTAGTCCTTTATAAAATATTCCTAAAAAATCCACGCTTATAGCTCTGCTAGTCCTTTATAAAATATTCCTAAAAAATCCACGCTTATAGCTCTGCTTGTCCTTTATAAAATATTCCTTAAAAATCCACGCCTATAGCTCTGCTAGTCCTTTATAAAATATTCCTTAAAAATCCACGCCTAGAGCTCTGCTAGTCCTTTATAAAATATTCCTTAAAAATCCACGCCTATAGCTCTGCTAGTCCTTTATAAAATATTCCTTAAAAATCCACGCCTATAGCTCTGCTAGTCCTTTATAAAATATTCCTTAAAAATCCACGCCTATAGCTCTGCTAGTCCTTTATAAAATATTCCTTAAAAATCCACGCCTATAGCTCTGCTAGTCCTTTATAAAATATTCCTTAAAAATCCACGCCTATAGCTCTGCTAGTCCTTTATAAAATAATCCTTAAAAATCCACGCCTATAGCTCTGCTAGTCCTTTATAAAATATTCCTTAAAAATCCACGCCTATAGCTCTGCTAGTCCTTTATAAAATATTCCTTAAAAATCCACGCTTATAGCTCTGCTAGTCCTTTATAAAATATTGTTTAAAAATCCACGCCTATTGCTCTGATGGTCATTTATAAAATATTCTTTAAAAAATCAAGCCAATAGCTCTGCAAATCTTTATAAAATATTGTTTAAAAATCCACGCCCATAGCTCTGCTAGTTCTTGATATAATATTCTTAAAAAACACGCCTATAGCTTTGCTAGTCCTTTATAAAATATTCTTTAAAAATCAGAATTTTTTAATTAATAAAAAGGTTAGTGCACTTGATCCAATAACTTCCTATTTGTAAAGTACCGATCTTTTGTCCACACAAAAAAAATATACTTTTGGGGAAGTTATCTCATTTTGCAGTAAGCAGTTGAGGCTGCATGTGTGAATTCCCTCTGAGATGGTGAATCCCAGAAAGCACAAAAACGCTAACAAAATTGATAAGACAGAGGAGCATCAAAACAACAAATGTTTTGAAAGTATAAAAGTCTAAGAAACCCAAACATATGGTATCAGCACACAAAAAGTATTCCTCCGAAATAATATCGTTCAAAAATAAATATTAACTCAACATGAAGTGCATTCTATTGATGGGAGCTTGTGTTGGCATTCTAGCCTTTGCCACATTATCGGTAGCTCAACCACCACGAGTTTATGGAGAAAATTTACCATATTATTCACCACCTATTCAGGCAGAAAGTCCTCTAAGAGTTCGTCGTTCTCCTGATAATCCCTCAACAAGGTAAAATGATGATTCTCTAAAGAAGTTGATGACAAATTCTTAACTTTGTTTCTGTTTTCCAGCAATGGCGTCTCAATTAAAACCAATTCGGTTAGCAGTAATATATTCAGCAGTCCTTCGAACAATGTGGATGGCACTGTAACCCAAAGTAAAACCTATTTCCCCAATGGTGAATTTTCTGAATCTTCATCGGGTTCTTTGGATTGGAAGAATTCCCTCGGGGTTGGTGGATCTTTGAGTCGTGACATTAACACGGGTGTCAGTGACAGTTTCACTAAGTCAGTGGGATACAATATTTTCAATAATGATCGCAATAGCGTGGATGCCCTTTATTCACATACCAATACAAAACTGAACAATGGTTTTGGTTTCAACAAGGAAAGTGGTACCCTAAAATGGACTAATGAAGGAGGACACGGTTTGAGTGGTGGTGTATCGCGATTTGAAGGTTTTGGTAAACAAGCATCCGTGACTGGTCATACAAACCTATTTAAATCTGATGATGGCAATACTCGCATAGATGCTTTTGGTTCTGGTTCGAAATGGTTAAGTGGCCCACTGCAAAATCAACGAGACTATAATTTTGGTATTGGTGGAAGTCATTATTTCCGTGGTTAAAGTGATGTAAAAAATATGAAATGATAATATATTACATTTTTAGAATAGAATAAAAATTTGGATTAAAAGAGAGAATAATAAAAAACTATTTAAACAATTATCGCGGATTTTCTAAATAATATTTTTTGAGCCACCATCATAGCAATAGGCATGGATTTTTGTAAATAATATTTTTTGAGTCACCATCATAGCTATAGGCGTGAATTTTTTTAAAAAATATTTTTGAGCCACCATCACAGCTATAGGCGTGGATTTTTGTAAATAATATTTTTTGAGCCTCCATCATAGCTATAGGCGTGGATTTTTGTAAATAATATTTTTTGAGTCACCGTCATAGCTATATGCGTGGATTTTTGTAAATAATATTTTTTGAGCCACCATCAGGAGCTGTAGGCGTGGATTTTTGTAAATAATATTTTTTGAGCCACCATCAGAGCTATTGGGGTGGATTTTTAAATATTATGTTTTGAGCCACAATCCTAGCTATAGGCGTGGATTTTTAAATATTATTTTTTGAGCCACAACCATAACTATAGGCGTGGATTTTTATGTAGTATTTTTTAAGCCACAATCATAACCCTTTTTCTTTAAACGTTGATTTTTAAATAGTATTTTTTGAGCCACAATCATAACTATAGGCGTGGATTTTTAAATAGTATTTTTTGAGCCACAATCATAACTATAGGCGTGGATTTTTAAATAGTATTTATTGAGCCACAATCATAACTATAGGCGTGGATTTTTAAATAGTATTTTTTGAGCCACAATCATAACTATAGGCGTGGATTTTTAAATAGTATTTTTTGAGCCACAATCATAACTATAGGCGTGGATTTTTAAATAGTATTTTTTGAGCCACAATCATAACTATAGGCGTGGATTTTTAAATAGTATTTTTTGAGCCACAATCATAACTATAGGCGTGGATTTTTAAATAGTATTTTTTGAGCCACAATCATAACTATAGGCGTGGATTTTTAAATAGTATTTTTTGAGCCACAATCATAACTATAGGCGTGGATTTTTAAATAGTATTTTTTGAGCCACAATCATAACTATAGGCGTGGATTTTTAAATAGTATTTTTTGAGCCACAATCATAACTATAGGCGTGGATTTTTAAATAGTATTTTTTGAGCCACAATCATAACTATAGGCGTGGATTTTTAAATAGTATTTTTTGAGCCACAATCATAACTATAGGCGTGGATTTTTAAATAGTATTTTTTGAGCCACAATCATAACTATAGGCGTGGATTTTTAAATAGTATTTTTTGAGCCACAATCATAACTATAGGCGTGGATTTTTAAATAGTATTTTTTGAGCCACAATCATAACTATAGGCGTGGATTTTTAAATAGTATTTTTTGAGCCACAATCATAACTATAGGCGTGGATTTTTAAATAGTATTTTTTGAGCCACAATCATAACTATAGGCGTGGATTTTTAAATAGTATTTTTTGAGCCACAATCATAACTATAGGCGTGGATTTTTAAATAGTATTTTTTGAGCCACAATCATAACTATAGGCGTGGATTTTTAAATAGTATTTTTTGAGCCACAATCATAACTATAGGCGTGGATTTTTAAATAGTATTTTTTGAGCCACAATCATAACTATAGGCGTGGATTTTTAAATAGTATTTTTTGAGCCACAATCATAACTATAGGCGTGGATTTTTAAATAGTATTTTTTGAGCCACAATCATAACTATAGGCGTGGATTTTTAAATAGTATTTTTTGAGCCACAATCATAACTATAGGCGTGGATTTTTAAATAGTATTTTTTGAGCCACAATCATAACTATAGGCGTGGATTTTTAAATAGTATTTTTTGAGCCACAATCATAACTATAGGCGTGGATTTTTAAATAGTATTTTTTGAGCCACAATCATAACTATAGGCGTGGATTTTTAAATAGTATTTTTTGAGCCACAATCATAACTATAGGCGTGGATTTTTAAATAGTATTTTTTGAGCCACAATCATAACTATAGGCGTGGATTTTTAAATAGTATTTTTTGAGCCACAATCATAACTATAGGCGTGGATTTTTAAATAGTATTTTTTGAGCCACAATCATAACTATAGGCGTGGATTTTTAAATAGTATTTTTTGAGCCACAATCATAACTATAGGCGTGGATTTTTAAATAGTATTTTTTGAGCCACAATCATAACTATAGGCGTGGATTTTTAAATAGTATTTTTTGAGCCACAATCATAACTATAGGCGTGGATTTTTAAATAGTATTTTTTGAGCCACAATCATAACTATAGGCGTGGATTTTTAAATAGTATTTTTTGAGCCACAATCATAACTATAGGCGTGGATTTTTAAATAGTATTTTTTGAGCCACAATCATAACTATAGGCGTGGATTTTTAAATAGTATTTTTTGAGCCACAATCATAACTATAGGCGTGGATTTTTAAATAGTATTTTTTGAGCCACAATCATAACTATAGGCGTGGATTTTTAAATAGTATTTTTTGAGCCACAATCATAACTATAGGCGTGGATTTTTATCATAACTATAGGCGTGGATTTTTAAATAGTATTTTTTGAGCCACAATCATAACTATAGGCGTGGATTTTTAAATAGTATTTTTTGAGCCACAATCATAACTATAGGCGTGGATTTTTAAATAGTATTTTTTGAGCCACAATCATAACTATAGGCGTGGATTTTTAAATAGTATTTTTTGAGCCACAATCATAACTATAGGCGTGGATTTTTAAATAGTATTTTTTGAGCCACAATCATAACTATAGGCGTGGATTTTTAAATAGTATTTTTTGAGCCACAATCATAACTATAGGCGTGGATTTTTAAATAGTATTTTTTGAGCCACAATCATAACTATAGGCGTGGATTTTTATTTTTTGAACTATAGGCGTGGATTTTTTTGAGCCACAATCATAACTATAGGCGTGGATTTTTAAATAGTATTTTTTGAGCCACAATCATAACTATAGGCGTGGATTTTTAAGTAGTATTTTGTAGCTGCTATCTATGACCATTGGAATCGTAGGATTCGCGGTCTGTTAGTTTATTGTTGACTTCGAGGCACTTCGTATAACCCTAATATATTTCCATGTAATGATGAGCCAACAAGTTCAATTACATTAGTAGTTGGCAAATACATTTGTTTTCTGTTGCCGTTGTTGTATTTCTAAACACTTCATTTAGTTTTTAGTTGCTGTTATTTGTTTGATTTAATTAACAGTGTAAATTTAATGTGACATGCGAACGATTAAACAAACAGTCAGTTCTCTATCATCCGAAAAAATAGACACACACACACATACAAACGCCTACAAATGTAATGAAAATATTTACCCATTACTTGAGTTCATCATCAATTCATCTCTTAGCTTTTTTGTTATTTTTTCGGAATTCATGGAATCTTGATAGAGTATACAACGGTTTTAGATTGTTTACACAAGATAGATGAATAGATATATTCACACTTGTTGTTAGATAAAAATGTTTAACGAACAAAAAAATGTGTCTCATTGTTGGTTTTTGCGATTTTTTTGGAATAAAAAAAAACACAAATAATGAGACATTTTATCAGATTAAAAAAAATATATATACAAAATTTGGATGCTCATAATCTCTTCAATGCTTCATCTAAATTTTTTAGAAATTCCATATTTGTTGTAGACAACAAAAAACGAAAGTCAATAACATTCTTCTTAATGCTTGTCAGTAGGAACATGTTATACCTATTGAACAACAGGCGGAAGGTGTCATATCACTTGTTCATTGCCGCTAAAAAAATCGGTCAATCAACTCTGTTAGATACAAAATTAAATTTTCAAAAGACAAACATTAGTAGGAATTGCAACAACATTGGATAACATCAATCATTCACGCATAATGGATGTTTGAAAATAAGATGCTATTGTTACACATAATGTAGTACTCTTGGATTTCAAGTACACTTTACAGTCGATATTATGTGAAATTACTTCAATTTAATTTTATATAAAATTTTATTTTTAAATTTTAAGGTATTTCAGTCTACTGCTATAATAAAAAACCAGTTAGGAAAGTTGAAAAGTCGGACGGGGCCGACTATATGATACCCTTCACCACTTTGGGTATATTCAACAGATGAATCTTAACAGACGTCGCATTTTTGAAGGACAAGTAAAAAGAAACTGGAAACATGTATTTCTGCAACCTATACTAAATTTTTCATTTGGTCAGATATAGAGTTGATTCTTTTCAATGGGACAAAATTATGTAAATCAATTTAAAGCATATATCAATCGGATACCCATTGATTGTTTGGATACATATCTGATACACATGAGGAGTTTGGTGCGCCATTTACTTCAAATCCGACGAAAATATGTATAAAAGCTATATCGAAATCTAAGCAGATTTAATCGAAACTTGTCACAGAATATCGACCATATTTTGAGTTCTTGGTGCATTATTTAGTTAAAATCGGGAGAAAATATGTATGTTAGCTCTATCCAAATTTGAACCGATTAAATAAAGCTTTCCACATGCTAAGTTATATAAACTATATAACTTTGGGTCTTTGGTGCACATTTTACTTAAAATCTGACGAAACTATATATAGGAACTATATCTAAATCTGAACCAATTTCAACAAAACTTGCCACACGTTATCTCATAATAACTTCAATAAGTTGTGGAAAATGTTGTGCCAATCTGGAGCGATTTACTGGAAACTGAACAACATCATTCTATACTTCATTCAGTACGATATTCCAAATTTCGTGAAAATCGAAAGATATTTAGGGACTCTGATGTACTATTTATTTTCCTTAAATCGGACGAAAATATATATGGGAGCTATATCTAAATCTGAACCGATTTTTCCCTATTTCAATATGGTTCGTCCTTGGGCCAAATAAGTGACGAATGCCAAATTTCATCCAATTCGGATAATAAATGCGACCTTTACTTTGTTTACAATTTAACAAAATTTAACAAATTTCATCCAATTCGGATA